ACCTGATAAGGGAAGACTGGGACTATACCCCAAAATAGCTATACTTACTGGCTAGCATGTATTAGGGAACCAGTGGGTATTTATGGTCCCAGAGTTTAGCGATTCTTGATCAAGGAGACTAGAACATAAAACTAGGTAAGGGGGAGTCTGTTAACCTGGGGATATTCTTCTTGGGTATAAGGTTTACTACTTGCAGGAGGCAGAATATTTACCCGCCCCTGAAGATGTGCCAGTCCTAATCCCTGGAACCTTTCAATATGTCAGTTTACCTGCAACTGGGTTGCAGAAGGAATTAATACTTAATTAGGTAGGTCCTTAAAAGAGGAAGAGGAAGGCAAAAGAGGGTCAGTGGAAGAGACATGATAATGAAAGCAGAATCAGAGGGATGGTGTGTTGCTGGAGGAGGAGAGGAGCTACAAGCTAAAGAAAGCGGGTGGCCTCTGAAAGCTGGAAAAGGCAAGAATGGATTCTCCCCCAGAGCCTCCAGAAAAGAAGGCAGGCCTGCTGACTCCTTAATTTTGACCAAGTGAGTCCTCTGTGTTTGATGAACCTATAGAACTATAACATAATGGGGTGCCTGGCTGGCTAAGTTGGAAGAGCAATTGACTCTTGATCTCAGGGTCACAAGTTTGAGCCCCATGTTGGGTGTAGAGATTACTAAAAATAATAAATGAACCTTAAAAAAAAAGAACTATAACATAATAGATTTGTATTATTTTAGGCCATTGAGTTCGTGACACTGTGTTGCAGCAGCAATAGAAAGCTCCTACACCATCCCAGCAAGGGTCCTGGGGATGATGCAAACATGCTATTAGGGTGAGTGTTCCTAGAACCCTGGAGAAAGCAAAGGCCAACACCGAATGGAGTTAAGATGCCCAAATTACTAAGGAAAACAGTAGAGAAAGGGATTGCAGCTGCATGGAAGAAAACATGCTGGAACAGATGTGTTATGTGAAGCCAGGAGATCCACCAGAAGACTACATTTCATGGTGGCTCATAAATAAAAAAAGCAGTTTGCACTGACATGGAAGGGACAACAATATATATTCACCCGTTTGCCTAGAGCTATGCTAATGCTACTGTTTTTTTCACAGCATTGTCTGGAGAGCATTGCCTTCAGCCTTTCCATTGATAACATTCTGCAGTCAGGAAGGAGGAGCAAGGGTTGGCTAGCCTTCATAAGATGCCTCTAATTAAAGGATGGGCGATAAACCTTCTGAAGATTCAACGGCCTGCCCCTTCACCAAAGTTTTTAAAGATCTGATGTTTCCGGACACCATCTTCAAAGTAAACTATATATGGCCCAATTTTTCATCAGCTACTTAAAAGAAAGTACAATGTCTCCTAGGCTTCCAGGTAGAGGTAACGTGTTGAGAATTCATCACGGATAAATGAAGAAGGGTTGGGAGGTTCTTGCAAGCATGTCCTGGGCTAAGGATTTGTGAGGTTAAAGTCAGAAACAATATAGCTGGGGAAGATCAGCCTGATGGCCCAAGCTCCTTTCTTTGGGGGCCCTCCCTGAGTCGCTACCTATTACTCAGCTTCTGCAGCGGTCTCAGAGCCTGGGCTCCTAGACCAGGAGCTCAGAGGGGGTGTTGGAGGAATAGCCTCACTGGTGTAGCAGTGGCATCTTGGGAAGGGGAGCCTGGGGCTGTGCCCATGGCTGCTTCCCCACTTCTTGGAGTCCTGTTTGGCCCCCACCCTTGCATCCGACTTAGAATTTTAATTTTAGTACCTAAAAGATATAACATGGCTCGGGCCATCTGTCCTTGTAAAAGCACGTGTAGACTACTTTACAGTTTACATAGCATGTAAAATAACAAGAAACTAGTTACCTCCACAATAACCCTTTGTTCCTATTTCACACACGAAGTAGCCGAGACTCTAACAATGGAAGTGACTTGCCACAGATCGTGTGGGAAATGGGCATTCGAACTGAAACCATGTCTCCAAACCCTGCTGTCTTTTCGTTAAACCTACATGCCCATGTTTTAAAAGCTTCAACAGTCTGGATGAAGAGAAGTTTCTCGTCAGGGAAGGAAGGAAATTCAGGTGTGCAAAAGCTGCTGTCCAAATCCGGTTGAGTTGTGATTCAGTTCAGGAAAAGGCAAAACCTTCATTTAGCTTCAATATGATACCCTCAGCTCGTCTCCAGTCCCACACCTCTGGGAGCTGCAGGAAACATTCTCTGCAAGGTTTGGGAATGGGGGAGGGCTAGTCTCAGCTTCCCCAGTTTTAGTATTTAGGTCTCTGTGCTGAGATGCAGTGTTTCCTTCTGGCAGGGTGGAATGGATTTATAGACTGTAAAACCAGGATTCAAACACAGGATTCAGCATTAACTACCTGGATGGCATCCTTCAATTAATTTAATCTCTTGGAAGCTCACTACTCATTTGTAAATCTTATCAGTGGATTAAATAGGAAATGTTGATTCCTATTTCCTCCTTCCCTTCATTTTTTTCTGGCCAGGTGTTTGTTTCAAAGTTTGGTTTCCTGAAGTGACAATATACAGAGAGACTCAAGATACACAGAAATTACACAGACCTGGCGGGGTCACCTGTGGGCTCAGCAAGGGACTCCATCTCCAAAATTGAGCGGCCAGACCCTTGTGTACCTGTGTATTGAGCTACCTGTATATAATATGTAATTATGGCAGATTATCATCTGACACCCATTAATGACCTAAAGATCCATCACTGAGCTAGTCACCGAGAGAACGGGCTGGGTCAAGGACAAGGGCCACTGGGGAAAGGACCTAAGATCACAGTGAGAGAAGTCAGGTGAATAACAAATCCCCTGATGTTCATTTAAGGCCACCCACCTACAAAGCTCTTTCACACTTTGGTCCTCCAGTTTGAAGTCTGATACTACTTTCTGGGTCATTCTAGCGATGCCTTTGATTTCTCTGGACCTTAGATGCTTTATCAAAGTTCCTTTGTCAACTCTCTATCAATAGTTGGATTTGTTCGATAGTTTTTAAACCTATCTTGCTGCAGAAATCTTATCTTCCTACCTATAAGTGTACATCAGAGCTACACTTGGGAGTGCAACTGCTTTCATTGTTGCATGGGAGGAGTCTCAGTGGGCCCCTGTCACCTCTTCTTGATGGCCTTGATAAAGCTTGATAATCTTCAACTCCAGTAGCATTCCCCAGTCAAAAGAACTGCACCCAGTCATGCCCTTGGCTGATAATAGTAAGTCTCTAACCCAGCCAAGCACAAGACACTCCCTTGTCATACCCTAAGTCAGTTTCATCTTCACAACACCCTTGGTCCTTATAAAAGTTAAGTGATTTTCCCAGTCACAGCTAATAGTAAAGCTTCAGAGCCCTGGCCTACCACTTCCCCAACCCCTGCCCTCACCCCCAGCGGCCCAGGCCCCTTGCCCTGACCCAGGTCCAGATTAAATAGCAAGGGGGTGAAGTACCAGTGCCCGAAGGGATGAGAAATATAAAAGATTTCTGCTGGCAAAGCCTTGAGACGTGAAGAGGGAGGGAGCCTGCTGATTCTGGGTTCCCACCAAGGTGGAAGCTCAATATATAAAGGCTGGGAGTGTGTGTGCCAACACCCCCCTCCCCCTAGCCGCCGCACATGCGAAGGTTTGACGGAATCCAATTCAAACAGGCATCCATTAGGCAGCAGGCCCATTTCTGCTTAACACAGGCAGTGAAAGAGCAAAGAAATTGGATCAGCCTATCTGTGCAAAAGCCCTAGCAAAAGCCACCAGTGGGCTTCAATACTTGCAAAGGCTGTTTTCTAACGACGTGCCTCTTAGAAACCTGGGGTTGGGAGGAAATTTAGCAGCATACAGAGTGCCCACACAAATTATACACCAATTTACACTTGTTGACTGAACACCTCCCATGGGCCAGGCGCTGGGTCAGGTGCTGCTGGGAACAGACACAGAAGTGACACTGCAGGGTGACAAACACTTTGTGAATTTAGAAGATGGGTCCGACTGGCTGGAAATCTTCCCCTTCAGCCACGTCCTCCCGGATGCCACAAACCCCAGCCTTCGCAAGGACTCTGAGGAGATCTACCCACAGGTTGGCCCTAGTGGTGCTCACTTGGGCGGGTCTCCAGAAAGTTCTCAACGCACAGGTCCCCTGCTTAGTGCTACTGCTGTTTGTCTTCCGTCATTACCCAAAACCACTTCTTGCTGGACTCTAATTCAGCTGCCACCCCTTCCAGGACACCTGCTGATAGGTTTAGACTTAGGGGCTTCCATGGATCTATGTTGACCCACCACTCCATTCTGCCCACCGCCTTCGTCTGCTTTCATGTCTGTTCCCCAGCCTGCACTGAAATGACAGGGGAGGCACGCACTAGACGTTCCAGGATCAAATTGACCCTCTGGGCTGTAGTTACTTCTAATAAATGAGGTGCACGAGAGATGGCATTGCCCACGAAGCCCACAAGTTTGACAATCTGTGCATCGGACTGGGGGAAGGGCTGCTCGGTAGACATTAGTTTCTGGGAGTTCGGTGGTCTCCTCCTTGGAGGTTTCCAATGGGGTCTGCAGCAGATGCTTTCCTTTTCCAAAGGAATCGTGTGGAAGCCTGGACGATTTGAGTCCAGGTGAGCCTGGCTACTCCAGAGCTACTAGCATTACTTGTCCTGAAAGCCTCTGGGCTCTAACATCATAGAAAGCATAACGAGCTTCAGGATTTAACAGATGGGGGTCCATGCCTGACTCCATCACTTACAGGTGGTTTAACCCCAGGCAAGTGGTACACCTTTCTGGGCTTACTTCCTAATCTGTGATAGGAACATAATTCACACCTCCTCACGTGGTAGTAACAATTAATTCACTGTGAGATATTACCTCTAAATTGGCCAGCATATGCCCACACATGATGGAAGCTAGCTTTTGCTTTGTATTAACAGTCGTGGTGGCTCATCCTAAAAGAGTGAACCCCCGGGAGGACGTAGGAGTTCCTGGCTGGTGCGTGGTGGCCACAAACCACAGATGGGAGAGACTCAGCATTTGCAGGACCTCAATATTTTAGTTAAATACGCACAATTTTATTGATTGAAGAGATTAGGACAAAAACATTAAACCAAATACAGGACAAAGCACCAGAGGCCATAGATTCCCACCATGCACATCACCAATCTTTCCTCCTACGGGGTACTGAAAAAATAGGGGACGGGGAAGAAAAACGGGTCCTTCTTGACACAGCACCATCTTCAGAATGTAAAAAACAAAAACAAAAACAAAAACAAAACCCAAAACCAAAAAACTCTCTCCTTTGTATCTTCCATTATCAAAATAGAATCAAGGGCAAATCCATGGCCGCCTTGTCTCCTGACTATGAACGGTTAAGCCGCCCTCCTGGGAACGTGAAGGCTGGGCTCCTGCTGAGCAGGCATGAAGCATCCAAGATCTGCACACACATGCCACGTACTATAATAAAGCACAGATTCAAGTAACATTTACATACTAGAGTCCACGTGTTACCTACCCAAAAACATGACCATTTCACAAAACGTATACAGGCAGTAAAATCCAAACAACTGAGGTACTGGAAACACAAATATTTATGCCAAAAGAGTTCTGTATCATACAGCAAATAGAAAAGCCGTAATAAAAAAAAAAAAACAAAAAACAAAAAAAACATTTGCCACTCGAAATCAAATAAAGCTATCTAGAAAAGCCAAACAAAAGGTTATTTCAGGGACAGAAATACTCAAACAAGAAAAAATATATAGATGTTAACTACAGCATGTAACATGTCATCCCAAGTCAACCCGTAATTGAAGTACTGGCTTAATACATCACAATGTGACATTTTCCTTAATAAATAGAAGAATTCTTGAAAATACAAAGGTGCGTATTGGGATAAGAGAGCTGTTTTTATTTATATCATCCTAGCTTCCAGCTGATTTTTCTTGCCGCTTGTCTCTACCGAGGATTTTTGTCCAAACCAGAGGGCCTTCCAAGCCAAAAGGATCATTCTTCCTAAAGAAAAGGAAATAGCTGCCCTGTATTTCATACACGTGGGACAATCTGCTTGGTTTCACTAGTTTCCAATAAAACAAAGACAAAAGGTGTAGCTGAGACCAGAGTGTCGCAAAAGCTTCAGACTCCAAGCGCCTCCCGTGATCTCACCCCGTTGCCCCCATCCCAGCAGAGAGGACCCCCAATGAGGCAGCCCTCATCGTTCGAAGGAAAAAAAAATTCAGGAGTGAATTTCTCTTTTCCTTTCCCTTCCTTTTTTTTCTTTTCTTTCTTTAAACTACGATAGCAGTTAATGCATCTAGAAGTTTGACTTCTAATAGCTTCCTGTCACAAACCCATGGACACAGAACAGAATAGCTTGTTAAAGGACAGATTTTTTTTTTCCCCCTTCAGGGAGCAAAGCATCAACATGTTATTTCCTGACCAGGATATTAAATAGTTTATTTAGAAGAAATGAGTTGAAAAGAGCAATTAAGAGACACAAACTGGACTTCTATTTTCTTTTAGCTTAGCACCCAGGTTTCTGGTCAGTCTGTGTGCACCGAATTTTTTTTTTTTTTTTTTTTGAATGAACCGCATTAAGTATCATATAGGTGGTTGTCTTGTTTAAAAAGAAAAAAAAAATCCTTGGCCAATTGTACCTTCCCTGAATCATGACAAGAAGTTAAAAGCTAACAGTGCGATGCCAAGATGTGTGTTTGAGGCAGAGAGTTTTGATTCTGTCGGGATCTGCAACTATTTTGGGACAAATGAAAAGTGGGGTAGGCCGAAGCAGCCCAACTGATGGGGGTGGTCTCCAGGGGGCTACGTCAGGGAAGAGAAGCTCCAGGGGCACCTGCCCCGCTGACCTGACCCCAGACTCCCACCCCACATCTCTCGCCCCCATGCTACATGTTCAGTCAGCTCCTTGAAGGTTCTCCTTCTTTGAACCGAGAAACTTGAGTGTCAGTGTCTTTCTTGCTACCAAGCCAGGCGATACGTGTCCCCTGGAAGGACTCTCCACTGCCCTCTCTCGCTCCTGGTACCTGCTAAGTCTCTGCGGGGCACGAGCTCAGTTAAAGAAAGGGTCCAAGTTCTCTTCCATGTTGACATCCGGCACCAGCTGATCAGACACTTCCTTAGCACCATATCCTGAATTCGAGACGCTAAAATCTGTAGAAAACCAAGGATGGTCCAGAATTTCCTGCGAGGTCAGCCGCTCTGAGGGCTCCCGCCGCAGGATGCTTCGGATGAGGCACTTGGCCTTGGGCGACAGAGTCTCTGGAATGTTGAACTGGCCACGCCGGATCTTGCTGAAGAGGGAACTGGGCTCAATGTCATGGAAAGGGTACCGCCCCACCAACATGGTGTAGAGCATCACTCCCAGGCTCCATACGTCGGCTGCTTTGCCCGAGTAGCTGCCACTGGTGTTCAAGATCTCTGGGCTCACGTAAGCAGGGCAGCCGTGCTTGTCAGAGAGGGAGTCATCATCTCCCCGAAGAATATACGCATCTTCCAGGCTTTCCAGCTTGACCCGAGTCCTGCAAGAGAGAGGAGAGCGTGAGCTCCTACGGGCAGGCTGAGGCACGTGAATCCCATCACTGTATCACAGCCCCCGCTTTAGTATTTCCAAGACCATGCACACATTCATTCATTCATTCAACCAGCCAAACATGACTTACTGAGGGCCTTCTAGGCGCCAGACACTGTTCCAGGGTGGGGGGCCCAGGAGTGAATAAGACTGACAGGGAATTTGCATGATGCTTAAGATCTACTGGGGTGAACCCACACCTCCAGCAAGTAAACAGACCATAAATGACATCATCATCTCCCCCATGTCAGTGATGACGGAATAGGAGATTTGTACTATTCTCAGACACATGTAGGTAGTGATGGGGATCCGCAGGATTTGAACTCAGATCCAACCAACTGGGAAGCTCCCAGAAGCTCTGTCTACAACTTACAGCAAGCTTCTGGCTGACATGATATAACAGTCTGAAAGGACTTTTTACTCAATGGCATCTTGGCTTTATAACAGACAGTCCTTTTGTTAGACATGGAAGATCTGATGACTCCATTTTCCAGATAAAAACATCAAGGCTCATGGAGTTTGAGTAATTTGTCCAGTGCCTTTTAGCTGGGCAACAGAGAAGACTTGGTCCCACACGTTCCTTAAGGAAGTCAACCTGCTGCTCCTTCCCCACTACCAAGCTGCCTTTCTTTAGGACATAGGCAGAGCTGGGGAATGTTCGAGCACGTATGCATTGCCATAAGCCCTTCCAAGGCTGACATCTTCATAGCAAGCCCATCTTCTTTCCAAGATTTACCACTGAACTTGCCTCCTATCTGGCCCATCACACTCCCAGGGGCTGGTCCTTGACCTGATGCTTATCTTAGTTACCTCTAACTTCCACCTGTGCCAACACATACACATATGTACATATGTGAATCTGATTTCTCACATGTGTGCAGGGGTGTGTGTGTCAATCTTCCCCTTGCCTTCTAAGGATGACTGAGCTGGCTGACAGGTTCCAGGATGCCTCCTGGCTGCACTCATGAATGGAGGAGGAGAAAACCCACACTGAATTCTGAGTCCCTGGGGCCCAGCACTCTTCTTTATACAGTAGAGCTTGATATGACCATTGGGCATAAAATAAGCACTTGGTAAATACTTTTGGAAATAAGTTAAATTCTTAAAATTAACTATACTAATTTGCAGTGAAGAAAGCTGAGGACCAGGACACGAAATGACTTGCTCAAGACTGACGGCTGCCCCCCACCCAGTGCCAGAATCTTCTAGACCTCCTTGGCTCAGGGGACTCCCAAGAATCCTGTTTCCCTGTTCTGCCATTCCTTGAGTGGAAAGCTAGGTATTGCGACCTTCCAGGGCTTAAAATGGAAATCCTCTTCCTGTTCTCCTGGCCAGAACCCTCTAACAGCAGAGTTCTCAGAGCTGTTAAACCCCACAGACTCAGTCTCATTCCATCCCACGAATGAAGGCTTGCCACAAAGGTGACGTGGGCCAGGGAGGAGGGGCTGGAGTGAGGGGTCAGGGCCTTGCAGACGGTGCCTGCAAGGGCCTACAAGGTCACGATTATTCACACCAGTGGGTTCCTTCGTCTCAAAAATGCACATCATAGTTTGTACCCTGTTGTCCCGAGGGGTGACGAGGCTCCAATGAGGGGAGAACAGGAAAGTGCTTGGAGAAACCACACTGGGGCATTTGCCTAAATCAGAGCTTGTGACTCAGGTCCATAAGCTGCTTTCCTCCTCCTCCCCCGGGGCTACAGGTCTTAGCCTTAGTCTCAGCCTGCTCTGAAAAGAGCAACCACCACGGCTACTCAGGGAGCCACAGAAGGAAGGTGAGGTTCAAGTTAATCAAGTTAGCTCTCTATAGCAAAAAAATCGGACAAAAGCCTGGGTTGATTATGAGATCTCGTATTTGAATTACAGAAGTTTCAAAGACTAAGGAGTAACTACTTCCCTGTACTCATTTCTGCCAATGAGCAATAAATGGTGGTAGTCTCTGGAAAAGGTGCTGGGCAGGGAGCTCCGAGAGCAGATTCCAGGCCAGACTACATCTCTCATCTGTTGTGTGGCTGTGGGGAGGTCACTCAACCTCTCTGTTTCTCAAACTTAAAGAGGAGCGTTGGACAAGGCCGTCTTCTTTTTAATTTTAATTTTTTGTGATGGTCCAATATACATAAAATTTATCATTTTAACCATTTTTAACTGTACACTTCAGGAGCATTAAGTACATTCCCACTGTTGGGCCATCCATCTGGACAAGACAGTCTGAAAGTCTCTGCCAGTTTTAACATTCTGGGATTCTGTAATATATAGCAACATGTCTTCTTTACTCACTCACCCCAATTCTACTATAACCTGTAGTGCACACGTTCTTCTCCTCCCCCTTCAGCTAACGATCTAGAGACGCAGGAAAGGTCTAGATGTGCTCATCTGGAATTGGGCTGAGGGAAAGCAAATCCTGTTCTTCCTGTTGGTCTTTCTAACCAAAGGCAGCAGGTGGGGTGGACCCACACCAGCTTCCCTAGACGTTCTAAGATTGGAGGTGAGTCAGGGAAACCCAAGAGGGCGGAGGGGAGGGGGCGCACACAATGGGGCCAAGTGGGTTCTCTCAACAGCTTCCTTCGCCGGACCCTCCCCGGCAGCAGCCTCAGGAGCTGGCCAGCTTCCTGGCCTCCACGGTCACTGTCGTGGCAACAGGAGAGCGACAGGAATAACTATAGCTGTGGAAACTGTAATTAGCTGTGGGACAAGGGACAGTCCGGTGGAAGGAGCACCAGACGTGGAATCTGGTTTGGAGCTGGGTTCCTCGCCACAGCCCACCAGCTCATGCATGTGGGGCTGACATCTTCCCCGCAGCTGCAGGGTGAGCCCCGGGTCTCCTGACCACACCTGCAGCCCCACTTCCTCTCTGCTCCAGCCCTTCCCTGTTCCTCAAACGCACCGACCACCCACCACAGTCCTCCCTGGGGCCTCTGTGCAGGTTCTCTCCCAGCCTCTGCCCAGAACGTTCTTCCCCCAGATACGTGGACGGCTCATTCCCGCTCACTTCTTTCAAAGAGGTCTCTGCTCAAATGAGCTTCACTAAAGAGCCCTTGCCTGACCATCCTATATAGGGGAGCACTGCACGCCCAGTCCTCTCCTGCCCTGCGCTGAGACCTGGAATACTATGCATCTGTATTTGTATGGTCACGCATTTATACTCTGTATTATTCCCATGGTCACTGCAGGGTGATCGCCTCATTCTGCTCGGGAGCTCGGGAGCAGGTAGCTGAGGTCGCTCTGTATGTAGAGAACATCTTCTGTGTTGATTGCTGTTTCTCCAGCACGGAGACTAGTATCAGCCACCCAGCAGACACTCAGTCTGAGAGGGAAAGGGACAGTCACACCATTAACCCCTCGGAGCTTCGGTGTGCCCATCTTTAAGGGAACAACAGCCCTGCTCTGCCTCCCTCGCCAGGATTAAGTGGATGTCAGATGAAGTATCCATGGGGAACAGGCTTTGTAAATTCCAATACCTCAGTCCCTGGCAGGGGTGAGGGCGGGCGCGGATGTGCCTCGGGAGACCTGAGCTGCTGCTAGCTCAGCCCTTACAGGGGACAGACGTCACCACCTCAAGCTCCTGATGCTAAACCACACCTGAAGCCCTTTTCCATTCTTACCTCCCTCCAGGCCACAGCGCTACACTGTGACTCTCACCTTCCCCCTGTGACCTACCCCCTCCCCTAGGTGGCAGGGACCCTACTTCCAGCCTGACCCCCCTATACTGGAAGGGTTCGAGCTTGTCAATTAATGCCCTTCCTGGCATTCACCTCTTTCCTCCCCCCGCAAGGCCTCAGGGGCCGTGCAAATACCCAGTGGACCCGAGAGTGCAGTGGAAAGTGCACCACACATGCTGCGGACGCTCGGCCGCCCCGGAGCTGACCCACCTGCCACGTCAGCCTCCTCCCTTCCGAAGCCAGACTCCAGGTGGGGCGAGTCTGGATCTGTTGGTCACATCCGGCTCAGCGCGTGCCGTGCCAAATTTGCCCCACGTCTACCAGGCCAGCTCCGTCTTGAAGTCAGAGACCTGGGTTCCGCTTCTGGCTCTGAAAATTACTAAGTACCAAAGAGCAAGCACCATCTCTGTACCTAAAAAGGTGCTAGGTATCGACAGAGATTTCCTCTTTAAAGTTTATAAAACTTCCTGCCACGTCCAAGGCAGGAATTATTATCCCTTTATGTGGACACGGAGCCTAATGCTCGGAAAGGGTGAGTAAGTCCCTATGGCTAGTGAGGCCAGTCAGGGGCTGAGCGCCCATCTCTCCCGGGGCTCCAAGCAGCCAGCCCGCAGGCCTGGCCCACCCACCTGAGCAGGGGGTGCAGGAAACCACAGCCGGGGTGTCCCCGTCTATGAGGCCTCCTCAAAGTGGGGAGCACACATGCGCCCAGGGTCAGGAAGAGCCAGCCCATGGGGCAGGAACCCGCTCCTCCCATGGAGCAGCACAGACATCCCGGGCAGGCGAGGAGAGAAGAAAAAGAGGGGCCTAGAGAAAGCTGGGGAGGAAGTGCATGCTTCTGACCCTGCTTCCTGCTCGGAACACCCTGAACTTGTCTGTATCACTCCTAGGCAAGGGTCAAGGCAAGTGGTCGGGATTATGTCTTTAAACAAGGACCTTCCGGGGTTCACGCATGTCAGGAACCCGAGGCCATGCTCCAGTCCCAGTGCCGGTCCCCGTGGACTTGCTGGACAATTGCAGGGACCGTCAGAAGGTCCCCGGGGCTTGGTTCCCGCTCTGGGGAGCAGGTTGCCTCTGTCTGCTCTGGAGAGCGTGGGGGGGTGGGGGGCGCGCCTGGCAGAGCACCTGCTCGTGTCAGCATGGGACGATATGAACGAACAGTCTTTGAACTTCTGCTGTCCCCTGAACAGTCTGGGGATTATGTATTCCCAGTCAAAGGAAACTGATTTTCGTAACAATCCCTAAGGGTATCGGTGGTCCTAGTAATTCAAATGTCCCACTAATCATTAGGGCAT